TTGGGCATCTAATTCAAAAGTACTTTAGGAGTTTATGCGCAATAAGGCTACCTCATATAAAATTTAAAGTATAAAAGATCTAATTGTACAAAAATTATACCAAAACGGAACTTTTGGACCAATTTGAGGTTAGTTACACTAGATTAAATACAATAGAAGTTATTTCACATAAATATCTTAGGTTGTAGACACCAGTGTTAATCTAAATCATCAGAAGTCTACTGAATCAATATATAAGCATTTGAATGTGAGAAAGTTAGATCGTAGTAACACCAGACCCTTCAGGTCTACATTTGCATTTAATTATAGTTATTAACCATTTCTACAAAGTTTCTTTATATTGACCTGCCTTGAACGCGCAAATTCTTTCTTTTGCCATTTTGTACACACATAAATTTACCCCTTTAGTATACAGTTATATGGGGCAACAACTTGAGTATGGTTTCCACTGAAAATGAAAAGAATTTTCTTGTTGTACTCGTGTCTGTGAACCTCTCATACCGACTCTAAAGCGCATTTTCTCAATGTTGCAAGCATTCTTCAAGCAAATAAATCATGCAAAAATCAAAATTATGAAAACTAAAGCAATATCAGACAGAAGGGGTTATGAAATAGCAGCGATTCTTGCGTCATTGTTGCAAAGTGCGTTGGATGCAATTCTCTCGTGGCCATGAGCGATGCCACATGGCGTATGAGTAACATTTGTGATGAAAAATGGCAATGCATTGCATATTTGCTAATTTTATTTATGCAATGCAACTACATTATATATTTTTGCATTTATTATGCGCATAAATTATCGCCGCTAACTGTATGTGTGTGTGTGTGAGTTTGCTAGTTGAATCACATGCGCGCTTTTGTTAAACAATTTGCATGTATTTGCAAATAAGAAAATTATTCGCAATTCAAAATTACAGAGCCACGCATCCGCTGGCAATTCGCTGTGAATTTGCGGCACTTTACGCTACACGAGCGCTCGAAACGCAGCCGAGGCCATACACTTTCACTTCAAGCTACAGGGATATATGGCGTACATGCTAAAGTGTGCGTACGTATGTGTGTGCGCTTAGCTCGTTTGGCTGACATGTGCGCATTGAACTATCATCACAGTTGTGCGTATGTGTACGTGCTAGCGTGTATTTTCAAAACTCAGCCACTCTAAGTTGCGGTCGTTGCCTTGGATGTGCGCTTTCTTGCCTGTTTTCCGCCTTCTTCATCTACTTTTCACCTGCTCCTTCCTCCTCGCTTACGTTTTTCTTCCGCAGCTTCGTTCGCTTGCAATGTAAATGAGAGTAACTTGAACTTGAGTGTTTGTCTGGTGTAAGTGAGATTTCCTACACAGCACACACACACTCGCAGTCACAATAACGCACACATACGCAAATGTCTTCGGAAATTTCATTGCTTGCTTCTGTTTATTGGTTTATTTATCAGCGCGCCGAGTGCAAATTCACAATCTTCACATTTACTACTTGAGCGCAACTAAAGGACTTTTTATTAGCGCGCACTTGTTGTTGTTGTTTGTTGTTGCTCTTCGCCCTATCATGTTCGTGTGTTGTCGTGAAAGCGTTGTTTTTTGGTTTCGCACGTGAACTTTACTTTTATACTGTACGTGCTCTGAGCGCATCGTGTTGGCTACAATGTGCATATACATATAAATATATATGTATTAGGTGGAGCGAAAAAACTATTTTTTTTTAACATCTAGAGGCGCGCTTTAAATTTCGAGGTAAGATTTTTATTTCCTAAAAAACTTTTGATAAGTTTTCTAGAAGCTGTGGAGCGTCCTCTTTCTGGCCAATAAAAATTTATCAGCAAAAAAAAAATTTTGTGATCAATATTGGAGTTTAAAAAAAAATCTTAAACGACAACATGCTTTCCTTAAGCGTTAAATTAAATTTTGAGTCAAAAACCGTCACATTCGGTAATTTAATATAATTGTAACGAATTTAACAAAAAAAATTCTTTTCCAAAAAAAAATTTAACTCGAAATTTACTTTAAAAGTGAGTGAGAACCTCTAGATATTAAAAATTTTTTTTCCCTAAAATTTTCTTTTTTTAAATCTACAAATTTTACACTTAGGCTAAGCAAAACAAAAAAAATTTCGCACCACCCTAATTAATATATATATATATATTATACATATATATATATACGTATGTATGTGTGTTTCATTGAAATCACGATGTAATTAAATTTACATAAAATCAAATGCAAAGAATTAATACAATTAAATAGAAATTTAATGAAAGCAAAAAGGTTGCTGCATTGCCTTTATCATCATCGCTCTCTCCTGCTAATTCTTCATTTCCCTCTATCTCTCTCTTTTTCACTCAGTCGCTTATTGACACTTTTTACTTTTATATATGGATAGTTTCGCTTGGCTTTTGTTGCGGCATCAGCAGCCCGCTTGTTGTTTAAGTATGTATGAGTTCGGCTGATTGCTTCCGTTATTTACTTACGGTTTGTTATTATTTTTTTTTTCACTCAATTTTGTTTTTTTCTTTTGTGGTTAGGCATTGCGGCATTGCTCGGCAATCATCGACTTAATGCATTGTCAATAAAGGATAAGTGAGTATTGAGAGAGTTCATCAAAAGCGCAATCGAATGGATGGGGTTTATAGGGTGCTGAAAGGGGTCCCCAAGTAATTATATATTTATGGTATATGTTACTTGTATAAATGTACTTTTGCAAAGCGTATGCAGTTGAGATGGAGTTGTGTGGACGTTTTCGATAAAAGCGACACAACTCCCTGTCACGGATCGCACCAAATACCTTGGGGTAATCTTGCACAGCAAACTGCTGTGGAAGCACACTGTGGATGAAATATGCTTGTAGGCAGATGCTCGGCACAACCTGAGGGCTTTCTCCCTCTCTTTTATACTGGTGCTACACAGCGATTGTAGGACCCATTCTGCTCTACGGTGCAGTAGAGTGGTGGACAGGCTTGCGGAAACCTACCTACCGAAAGTCAATGGAAAGCGTTTAGAGACTCGCTGCGCAGTGCATAAGGGACCACCAAGAACCACTCTAACGGCAGCTTCTGAACAACTAATAAACCTGCCACCTATAGAATCTCTTCACTGAAAAGTCCGCAGCATAATTGGCGGGGCGACATGTAAAGCCTTCGGGCATAGCACGCTGCGTAATGGCGGTCTAGCAAACACTGACTACATGATACCACTTTTTAATTTGGAAAGAAGGTTTTGAGTAAACAGTAAAAAGAGATGGTTGACGTAAAGGCATGTTAGCTACGCGTAACACATTCAATATTTATACGGATGGCTCAGCCAAGCAGCAATCGAGGCAGTAACCTCGTATCACATATCGACCAAAAGTGTTTTGGAAAGCAGCGTAGCAGTGGAAAGTGTCGCCAGGAACTAGCGACTTCACTTCTACTGGGTGCCATGTCACAAAGGCATCGTTGGCAATGAGATAGTGAACGGAATTGCCAAGAGTGGTGTATGGATTTCATCTGATAACGTGTTCGACCTTGGTAAACACATGCATTGTCTTAACGATGATCTGGACAAGAGCATGACACGGAAGGTTTAAATTCGATGAAATAAGTTATCGGATTGCAAAACTGCAAAAAGCATGGGCAAAGTTGTGAATCCAAATTGCACAAAGTTACTACTCACTCTTGATAGAAGAGACTGTGGTAACATAATTGGAATACTCACAAGTGCCAGTTTGGTGGCGGCACACGCCTGCAAAATGAGGCTGACAGATCAAGAAAATTCCAGGAAGTGTCAAGAGCAATACACCCGCGAAACAATAGTGAATTTTTGAGTTTGTCAAGTTTAGATAATATTCAGAGAGCATACATCGCAAGTTTTAAGTAAATCACCTATTTAGAACTTGAGCTTTCGTGACTATCTTGAGGGAAATATTTTTGAATAGCTAGACTATCGAAATATGAAAAAACCGTTGATTTTAGATTTTCTGTAATTTTTTAGACTAGAATACCCTTAAGCAAATAAAATCAAATAATTTGACATTCCACAATTTGACATTTGAATTACACAATTAAAAAATTTGAATTACGGTGTGCTGAAATATATGTAACATATTTGTTAGGTGAGGGTATTAAATTTAGAGTCAAATTCAATGAAAGAAAACTGACCCATTTGATAGCAAGTGCTTACACTCCACCGAGACGAAATGTTATGAATTTAATTGTATCACACCTTTATTAATTTTAATTGTTTCATTTTTATCTACACTCAAAAGCCAATTGGGCTCGATATGTTTTTTATATTTTATCCAAAAATTAAAAACTAGTTCGAAAACAACTGTCATTAAATTTGACTAATGAAAGCGACACAAAATTAAAAAAAAAAATTATATTAAAAGTTATTTTTTAATTTTAATTTTAAAATTTTTTCAAAACAATATTTATATAATATCTTATATGATTAATATATTTATTTCAATGACAGTTCCACGAGCGCGTTTTGGGTGTCAAAACTCCCCCAAAATCGGTGAATTTTAATTCAAATTAAAAAAAGATTACGAAGTAATAACAATATTAAAAATATTATATGTTAGAAAGAAAAACTCTCCCCCAGAAATACAATCTGTATCCGCCACTGATTTAGTTCATAATAAACATAATACTTTTTTTTACAGAAATCGGTATCTACACATGCCATTATAATCCAACAATAAATCAACAACGCTCACAGGACGTGACTATGATAATATATATTTTTCATTAAAAAGTTTAAGCAATCGTGACTTATATACTGACTTCGGTGCAATCAATGTGGTAAATAAGTACGCTGTTGTAAAATTATAGTGAAAAAGAAAATATTTATACGGTGTTGCCTAACATGATGTAAATAATAAGCTTGTTGTTAATAAAAAAATATTATCACTAATAAGATAATGCCATTTCATTCATCTGGATAACGCTTTGCCACAAAGGGTCTTTTGATTAATTTAAAACTGAAGATTAAACGCCTTGGTTCAACTTTTCCCAAAAGCGGGTTTTAATTTTCGCACCCACAAAAGACAAGCTATTGCTTTAAATATTCGAGTTTATGAAAAGAAATATCGTGTTGTTAGTTAAACGGGACTTCGTATAGAGCTCGCGCTGACAGTTCGATTTTTTAGAAAAAAAAATTTGCGAAATGAAATTTTTATATTTCATAACGGTTTTTGCTATTTTGCATACCCAAAAGAGATTGGTATACCCAGAAGCTTCCATAACTAAATCGGCGATGGAGGAGACCAAAAGCTTGATGGACAACATTTACAATACATTCGCGTATGTGGTTCCAGCGCTACCTCTGAAACTTGCCACATCCACTATAAATCTTGTTTGTGAGTTATTGAAGAGGTAGATGTCTGCAAATTGAAAACACTGTACATAATGCATTCATTTTAGGTACAAAATTCATCGACCATATCAAAAGGCAAATATCCGACAAACACGCAGCGAAGTTGGAGAACATCAAGATTCAGTTTCGTACCGCTTGTGATAAGCGAGAATATCCTATAAGCGATCTCAGTGGTTTAGCAGCTGATAAAGATTTCGATCGTAATAAGAAGACGGTCATTATGGCGACCGGCTGGACTACGCAAGTGAATAGTAGTCAACACGACATACTGGCCAAAGCTTACAACTGTCGTGGAGACACAAATTATTTGGTACTGAACTCTATGTTGCTATTCAAACTCGCGTTAAATGAAATGTTTTACTTTCTTCCCACACAAAAAGGCGCTAGATGTCGGCGACTACGAGCAGAAAATGTACATTTGGTCCTCACAGAACACCGACACGATTGGCGGATATGTCGCCAAGGCTGTGCAGAGGCTGCTCACTTTTATAGACGTCGCGAACTTGCATTTGATGGGTCACAGTTTGGGCGCACAAATAATGGGCTCGGCGGCGCGTCACTATCGCAATTTGACTGGCAAAAGTTTACCCTACGTGACCGGTTTGGATCCTGCTTCACCGTGCTTTGGCATACACAAGGAATTGACTACACTTTCATCGAAAGATGCTGACTTTGTCGATATCATCCATACAAATCCTGGTGTTCTCGGTCAATACGAAACTTATGGACATGTTGGTTTCTATGTCGGTGGTAAAAACCCTATACAAGCCGGTTGTAAAACGCTAACTTGTTCGCATAGCATTGCCAACAAATATTATGCGGAGTCGATTTATCCAAATAACGCCCGCAACTTTATTGCAAAACAGTGTGCGTCAATGAAGCGTTTTAATTGCAACGGCGTGGAGACTGTGATGGGTTATGCGGTTTCTCATGATGCGAGAGGCATATTTAAGCTGGAGGTAAATGCTAAATCGCCGTTTGGTAAAAATGCAAGTATAAATTATACGGACCCCAAATTGTCAAACTGTGGCAGCTGCAATATTGCAAATCAATAAAGTTCTATAAACAGTTCGATATTACAACAAGTGTAATATAAGACTATGTTTATCTACTAGAAAGCTCTCAAAGGCGTCTTTTTATCCTGCCGGTATTCTATTTTTTGCTTGGGAGAACTTTTGATGTCATAAATTATATACTTAAACTGCGGTACCGGCTTTTAATAAAGAACTAAAAGGCTTGGAATTGCCTTAACTTGGTTCGCAAAGCACCACCGAATCTTTCTTCCATTCGGTTCATCTTCCAAAGCTTCAGCAATCACTTAAGTTCGCTCAGTTTTCTGTCACTTTAAAGCTCATAGTTTGCGTTCGACAAAGTAATTGTGGCTATAACCTCGTTATCAAAAGCTTCTGCAAAGAAACGGAATTTACTGATATCCTCACTTTTTTTTCTCATTTTTTTCTCTTATTTAACAGTGACATATCACTAACTGTGCTTTATTACGACAAAAAATGTCGACCTATTTAGTGAGAAAGCGTAGATTTCCGAGTTAGTTCTTCGTCAACATGCATATACCTATGGTATGTACGTCCTGCATATCTTTTGTGAGAGCGATTCAATATATTTTTAAAAACTATTTAAAAATTTAGATAAAAATACCTCAATTTTTCAAATATAAATTGAAACCCCATAATGACTATTCACACTCGAGAAATTTATCAAGTTATATAGAGACAGTTTTTTTTTAACACTTTTGTTATATGAAATTATTAATCGAAAACACAGGTGGCTCTGAAAATGTAATAAAATGGTAAATTCGGTAAATTTTTATATCGATAAGAATCGTTATCGAATTTATAGATGAAGGTATGACCATGTCTGCAGAAAACACCTTTCTCGAAGCGATTTGAACACCCTTTTGAAGGCCAGATTTTTGATATTTTTTAATTTTATCTAATTAACGGTATTTTACTTTAAGTAAAGTTTTCAAGTTCATAGATATCCTTACCATTTCAATACCATGTTAACTGCTTCAACTTAAAGTTGGTAGTTTCTAAATGAAAAAGATTTCCCCTTCACCACCACCATCACTGCTGCCAAAGTTCAGAAGATTGTAGAAGTTTTTCTCCCTAAAAATATAGTACCTAGTCGACTTTTCTAAGACTTGTTCTTTCTGTCATCATCCAAATCGTTGAGCTTTCTTGCTCCTATTTCGTTACATCCTTCTCTCTATTTTTCACCTAGTTTTCTTAGATTTTGCAGCACGTCTTGACTTCCGCTCAGTTCGTCAATATTACTACTGAGTTGATGAATTGAATTGAGATAATTTCCAAAATTTTTAGAATTTGTTATAGAGTGCCATACAAAATAAGAAGCTTGTCATAAAAGATACAAAAATTTCTAACCACCGTTATTGCAGATAAGTCAATTGCGCATTAAAAATAAATTAGCATACTTTAAAGATTTAAAATTTGCCACAGTTATCAGTATTACTTTATGAGCTTGTTTAAATTACAAATTGATATACAACTCCTAAGCAATTTTTATATAAATAGCAGTCAGACCTTAGCAAATGCTCATCCAAAATGAGTATTGAGAAGTGAAGTTTGCCGCAATGAAGTTCTTCTATATTCTTTCATTGCTTGTTTTGTTCGAGAGCACTTCTGCCTTCAACACAAGAGCGGGGGACTACATTTACTCGGTGACTGAAATTATTGCAGCCTTAAGGGCCAGTAAACAGGACATGTATCGGGCTGATTACTTCTTCAAAACCGTCGAAAATCTCGTTCAGGGTGTACCATTTCAGATTGCATCCGGAATATTAAATTCAGTTTGTGAGTATAAACTGATGCACCAATACACTTGTGTTAAAATCGATGAGGTATGACGAAATTTTCAGGCTCGACAGTGCTGGCGCAGGGCAGAGATCAAACGCCCGAGCAATATTTACCGAGAATTGAGAACATTAAACTACAATTTCGCACAGCTTGCGGTGCACGTGAATATGCCATCGAGAATATATTGGAACTAGCTGAAGATCCAGAATTTGATCCGGAAAAGAAGACTGTTATCTTTTCAACGGGTTTCTTATCAACAGTGAACTTTTCTGCAACCGGGGAATTGGCCAAGGCATTTAGCTGTCGTGGTGATACAAATTTTCTAGTAAGAAACTATGAACCATTTTCAATTTTAAATAGTAAATTATATGGACTGCTTCTTTACGTAGGTGCTAGATTCCGGTGGCTATTTGGGAACGCTTTATTTTTGGGCCGCACAAAACACCGTTAAAATAGGCAAATATCTCGCTGAGGGCATACAAAATCTAACCCAAATTATAGACATTGAAAATATACACATAATCGGCCACAGTTTGGGTGCTCAAATAATGGGGTCAGCCGCCCGGCATTACACTGATCTCACAGGCAATCAACTACCGCATGTGACAGGTCTTGATCCCGCCTCTCCCTGTTTTAATGAGGGCGAGATGCTAACTATTCTCTCAGCCAGTGATGCCGAGTTTGTTGACAACATAATCACGACTCCCGGTATTGCGGGGCAATTTGCCGCCAGCGGTGATGTTACCTTCTATGTGGGTGGCAAATTTCCTATACAAGATCCGTGCACAAGTCTGAGATGTTCTCACAAAATCGCTATCGACTACTATATAGAATCGGTCTATACAAATAATGAGCGCAATTTTCTAGCAAAGCGTTGCATCTCACTGCATAGTCTGAAGGCGGGTAAGTGTAACGGTAATGAATATCCAATGGGTTTAGCAGTGCCACACCACTTAAAGGGTAGATATATTCTGGAGGTGAATAAGGAGAGACCGTATGGCAAAAATGCAACTAAGGATTATATGGATCCAGCTACCACCACTTGTGGCATTTGCGAAGACTCGTAAGAAGAAATTGTTTGAATTTACAGTTTCTTATTTCATTTAATCCTTACTAATCGATACTTATTTACTCCAGTAAATTAAATATGTAATCAAATATACTAAATTACGTTGAAGTTATTTCGAAAGACTGCTGCTTAATATTAGTACTATTATCTTCTAAGCCTAAAGAGTATTTTGACAGGACTTGACACTCTGGTGAAGCCAATTGAAAGATGGACTAAAAAAAATGAAAGTCTTCGAGCATCACTCGAGTTGTGGAAAGTTCTTGCCACCATCACGTCACTGCTAGAATATATATCCCTATCTAATCTTTTGAATTTGGTCAATGCAGAACACTAAGAATGTGTACACGGCTGGTTATTATTATCTTATATACATTTTGAATTATTTTATAAATTTTTTTTTACACATACACATTTTGACGTATGTCACTTAACAATTGGTGTCATGAGCCGAAATAACTTCTAATAACACTGGAACACAAGATAGTCATTAATTTGTAGCTTCACTTTGTGAAATTACCTAACGCACTTAATCAGCTGTTCTTGCACGAGTTGTAATAATATTATCTCAAAATAAACAAATAATTTAATTGCATTGTTTTAAGCTTAACAATTTCTGTGTTTTTTATTAGAAATGTTACTAGTTCCCGCAGGTTGTATTTAGTTTATCACGAAGTTAATAACAACTAGAAGGAAATCTTGGAGATAAAGCACATATATAAATGATCAGCGTGATGAGCTGAGTCTGTCTTCTCTCTATAAATTATAATCCATTTCTACCCTAAAAGCTGCTCATTTGCCTAATCCGCCGTTATCTGACCACTATAGGATCGATCGACTTATTGTCGCAGTTATTTCGGAAAAGCTACAAAATTTAATATTTGAATAGTATATCACTACAACTAAATTAATATAGGGTTTAGGGTTGTCCCAAAAAAAAAACTAGTTTCCAGTACCAGTTTCTGACCAAACTGCGGTGCCGTATAAACAGTTATTCGCCGAAAACTACAACTCGTATTTGATTTGCCGTGCACGGCCGAAATGAATAATTCATTAACTGATCTTAAATAAATTTCTATGTGTATATGTGTGTTCATATGTAGGGTCTCAATCTGGGCTTTGAGCGCCGCGATCGAATCAGGAAATTGCGTAATGGAAATACACTTAGCACGATCACAAAGTATGCGCGAAATATTTGCATACTTTTAGGTGTATCTTGACATATCTCAAGCGGAACAAATTAATTGAAGAGACAGAGCAGGGTGATTCTAAGTTAATACTATTTTATATATAATTTTGTTTATGGCAAATAAGAATATGGAATTAAAAAAAATTTAATTAGTAAAAAATAAATTATTCAATATTCATAGTCATAATATTAGTAACGTTATTATTATTTTGGTAAGTAGCTACCCCACCTTTTGGAACAGTATCTCGTTTGAACGTTTGAATAGTAGATAAATAATTATGTGTGCAAGTGCAAGTGCAAGTTGATAAAAAAAATGATATGCACACGTATTTTTATTATTTAGAGTAAACAGTAAAAATTATTAGATGAGAATAGATGTTCGTATATGAGTTCATATAATTTTATGGTTTATATTTATGCATGTCTGTTTTTTTTATTATATATATTATATATATTTTTTTGTATATATGCCTTTATTTGTATTAGATAGAAAGGCAAGCGCGTGCAAGGATATTTGAACAGTCCAAAACAGTCATTATATTAAAGTTTCACTTTGTGAAATTCTCTAATAACAGTTATTTACTCAGTCAGCTGTTTTCGCACGAGTTGCAATAATATTATCTCAAAATAAACAAAAGAAATAAATTTGCTTTTTGTAACTTAACAAATTCTGTATTGTTGCTAACTGCATTATCAGTATACAATTTTTTAATTTTTTCTTTTTTACAATGAGATTTCTATGGCAAAATATAATTTTATTTGCAAATTACGTCTTTTTTTTTTGACAACATTGTCGTTGTGGGTGTCATATATACCATATATATAATATTAAATAAAATAATTTATTTCTTTATATCTCTATATATTTATTGGTTTTCTTTGACAAAATGACATATGATACTATGTCATGGACAGTGGGGAGAAATACATATTTTTTTTTTTTTGATAAAATATCAGTCTATTAATTAGGGATTTGTAACGATAGCCACGAAACACGTCAAGTATTTAAGCTTTTCCTTGTAAAGTTTAACGTATAATTTAAAAGCATGCCAGCTATATTTTAAAAACATTGGCAACCCTATAATGTATGAAGACTAATTTCAGAAATTTTTTGCAGAAATTGCAACCCTTTAAAATACATTAGTTTACTTTTAGTATAACATAAGTGATTTTCTTAATAATAATCATTTGGTGTGCTTAAATAATTTCCAGTTACAAGATTTCATATTTCGCAAAAGAATTTGAAAATACCGAAATCCCGAAAAAAAAATTTACGGAATCCCGTTTTTTTCGGGATAAACACCGTTTTCGAATATTTCACTACAATAACATAATTAAATATTTCAAACAGTTACATTCTGGGTTTGCCTCACTGTGCGTAGTGCGCTTTGAAGTACACGTAACAATTTTGCCTTATGCAGATCAAAACAACGGAAAACCGAATATGATAAGCAACGTAATTACGACTAATTAAGATCATGCAAGAATTTCACACAGCATATAAATAGTAGAGCCACATTCTGACAAAAGTGCAGTGCAGTATAAACAGTTATCCGTCGAAGACTACAACTCTTAGTAGATTTCTCGCGCACAGACGAAATGAAACTTCTCGCTGTTTTTCTGCTGTTGGCAACACTAGGCGCCAGTGCAGTCTTAAAAGTCTCAATTTTCGATATAGTGTATAGGGCAAGGGCATAATCGCCAGTACACCGGGTCCACTGCGTCCCGAATATGTTTTGAAAATTATAGAGAATGTATTGGCGGGTCTACCATATCAAATTTACTTTAGCATAGAGAGTGAAATCTGTGAGTTTCAATTTTGGAATACCGCTAAATGGTTTTAAGATTCTATTTTTTGCTTGCAAAGCTCAGGTGCGACAGTTCTTCGGCAAGGTCACAACCAATCACCCGAGAAATATACACCAAAACCCAAAGATATTAAATTGGAGTTGCGTACCGCGCTCATTTTCACTTGAGGAAATCAGCGATTTGGTGGCCGATGAGAGCTTCAACCGCACGAAGCCGTGGGGCTACAGCGTCTGACTTCGCTTATAAACATCGCGGACTTGCATTTGATTGGTTTCAGTTTGGGCGGACAAACGATTGGCTCTACGGCGCGTCACTACCGGCTTTTGACAAACGAAAGCTTACCACATCTCACCGGCTTAGATCCAGCTTTTCCGTGTTTCTACACAGATAAAGGATTGACCACCCACTCTTCAAGAGACGCCGATTTTGTTGACATCATACACACGAATCCTGGCGTCCTCGGTCAACCGGAAGCCACCGGTAGTGCAGACTTTTTTGTGAGCGGCCACTTCCCTTTACAAGAGGGTTGCTTAATTGTTCACACTACCGTTCTATCGCATACTACGCTGAGTCGATTTATCCCAGCAATGAGAATAATTTTCTGGCCAAACGTTGCGATTCCTTAAAAAATCTGCCGCCGGGTAAATGTAGCGGCGAATACTATCCGATGGGTTACGCAGTGTCACGTCACCTGAGAGGCAGCTATGTTTTTGTTAAATACCAAAACATAAAAGGCAATTTCTTTACCAATATTTTTTTCTCACTCATTATATGCGCTTGTATCGATATATTATTTTTATTTCTAGTTAATACCTGAGCGTATTTTTGACATTTTTATAACCGTTTTATAGATTTACTATACTACAATTATATTCATACCAGCTCGTGCAATGCTGACCTTCCCCAAGCAATTTTTAGTCGTTGTTGTTGTTGTAACGGTTATGTAGTCCCCGCTTGGATGATAAGTTATAGTTTGGTTGTCGTCGAGGTCATCTAACGGGAGGCCCAAGAAACAAGCTGTTTCGACGGGGTCGGATCATAGGGAAAAGGGTGTTAGATGAGTTGGGTTTGTAGGGCATGCAACGAGGTGGTTTTGGATAAGTACTGCTACAATATCCAGAACGAAGTAGCGCGAGGGTCACTCTGATTTCGCGAGGCAACTCGAGCTCTACGTCTGGTATTGGTGGTGGTTTGACTCCTAGTATGCCATTCACTGAAAGGGAGTCGATGAAGGTGTTGATGGCTCCACTGTGAATGGCTGTCAATGCTTGTCTATAGTTCGTTGCGTCCGAAGTCCGGTCGGCGTACTGTCTGATGTGGTCTTTCTAAATTTTTGGTCGTCACCGGACCCTGCTGTCTTGCGAAACTCAATCAAGCGCAATTTTTATACTTCTCACAAGTTGCTTAGTCAATATGTAATCTATCTAATGCTATTTGATTTAAACTTTAGTTAGTTTAGTTTAAGTGGATATTTAAATCAAATTTGTGGAATATTTTTACTCTTTCTTGTTGACTTTTAGCAACAAAAAATTTTTTTTCTAAAAAGCTGGCAACACTCATCAAAATCATTTCAAACAGAAGTTTTGAAGCAGATTACATTTCATACCCATATTAGGAAACTTCTTTCATAAATATTGTTAAAATTTTAATTTCAAAAAGGTGGCATCACTTCCATTTTTTTAGTTCAAAACTCATTTAAGTCTCTAGCGTTGATTCTGAGCAAATATGGTAATATCTATAATATAGCATTAATTTTACGGAATTTAGAAATTAAAAAGATAGCAACCATGTTAAAAACTATAATTTTAGTTATTTAAAATTTCAAAACATCTTGCAATGCTGTTATAGTATACACTTCAGCTGAATATCTATAAGGTGGCAATTGCATTACATTAAATAATTGATAATAACAAAATATAAACAGCTGGCAACTCTGTCAAAATTATTTTTAATTGTAATTTTTTTAAATTTATTTTACCTTTGCTATATCTATACATCCATATATACTTTTGACTAAAATTTTTTAATTGACCCTCTAAATTTTTCTCTTAGGCGTTGGTGTAAATATCAGATCTTTTATAATATCCTTGTACATCAATATAT